TCTCATCTACGGTGGACGGGAGGCGAGGGCTGTCGACCTGAATTGCATACCTTGGCTGTCGGTACGTCACAAACTGTGCTTGAAGCATATAGGTCTATTTGTGCCAAGACGTTTTTCTTCGCGTTTCTCAACTTTGATGCTGTGTAAAAAAATATGTTTTATGTCGCAACGTGCAGAGTTGGCGCTTGATTTCTTGGCTTGATTGTTACCATTGCTCGGGGATGAGCAAATTAGCCAGTTTGTGGGTCTAAAAAAAACAAGGTCGCATCCCCCCCGCAACCATTCTTGCACCTTTATGTGTGCATTGTCTCATACAAACGCCCATGTTGCGATATGACATCTCATTGTCTGCAACCACGCTCCTACCCTCCTTCTGTCCAGCCCATTGCTAAAGAAGCGGCACGTTGTAAGCCCCGCTTGCAAAGAACGGTTCAAAACCGACGCGTGTCTTGGCTCACACTCATCATTAGCGTGAGGCGCGACAAGGCACGTCTAGCTGTTGCCTGAATCCCCTGCTCGGCGGCCAGACGGGGAGACAGGGGCAGGCGTGGAGCGGCGGTATGACGTCTGCTTGCCGGATGAGCAGGCTAGGCGCGTCTGCCGCGCATCCAGTTGGAAGCGAATCACCGGCTGGGGGCGCCTTCCAGATTCACCACACTATTTCAGGCGTTTCCTGGCGTGGTGAAGCTTTAGTGGTAGAGTTTAACCTCTTAGCGTCCACGCGAGGCCTGGCTGGCACATTTCGCGCTGGTGATTTCATCAAGCTTTCGCGTTAAAAGAACAAGCCGTTGTTGGCCTGGTTGTGACGCTAGTACATCAACCACCGTGAGTCGTACCGGACTCAGAGCAGATGTCAGTGCCGTGTATTTTGGTATCCGCTTTGCATTGTACAGTACCATGTGTAGTGGTTGCCAAAGTGTATTCGACTCGAAATATGAATTATTTTATTTCGACGCCCACATTGGCCAAGTTGTCTAGCAAATGCCACGAATGCAATGAAAATGACCACGTCGATTCAGAACTCTTTCGCCCCTGCCCTCGGCAACATCTCGGCAAACGGCTCTCCAACATCGAGTGAGTTTCGCTATCTGCCGCATTGACGCAAGGCAGCAGGGTCGCCTCGAGGCAGCGCAAATTAGCCATCAGAGGTTGGCAAAATATGCAATGGTTCGCATCTCGAGAGCACAAATTTAGTAGCTAAAAGCTTCGAACGGCCCATTCTCATCGTCCCTCTCCAGCCTACATGCTCTGTCCTTCCCCACCCTCTCCCCCCCCCCCCCCCTCCCCCCGGTCTGGCGAGGCCGGCTCCGCCAGTGGCTTGCTATCGGCCGGAAGGTGGCGGCCGGTCGCCCGATAGGGCGCGCGCCTTGGGCGGCGGCGGCGGCCGTGTGCGGCCCCGCCGGCGCGCCCGGCGACTGTTCGGCGTTGGCCCGCGCAGCAGCCCCGCTCTCACGGCTATCTGGGACTCGCGCTGCACTATCTTATCCGTTGGCACACGTGGGTGTGCTGTGGGCCCGCTGCTTCAGTGCTAACAGACAGACTCACTCCAGAATACGGACCATCACTGCCCTGACAGGCTGGTGACTGGCTGATGGGTGAACGGACAGACGCCATAATATGTACTGTGTGAAGTGACCCAGCAGCCGATACGCCCTCAAAAAGTGACCACCATGGGGCACGCACGACCCGAAAACGCGCAACGAGCGGCCCTAGTGCCCAGTTTACCGTGCACCTGCCGCGCGCCACGCCGCCTGTGGGTGTGACAGGGACTGGAGTCGAGCCGCGACCTTGACCCGCGCCCGGCCAATGCCAAATTACGCCGGAATCAACGTCGATGTGGTCGGCCCCTGCCCGAGTTCACGCTGCTGCCCGACACATGAGGGATTGTGGGCGCTAGGCGGCACGTCTGGGCGCCGCTCGACTCGGATAACAGGGCGGTCAGCCGTCGGCGGCCGTTCCCTCGTCTGATCACACCGCTCCGGACTCCGGCGGCGGCCGCGCCCCATCCCCCTCCCCCAGTCTGATCACACCGCCCAGCCCGGCGGCGGCCGTTCCCTCGCCTGACCACACCGCCCCGACCCCCGGCGGCGGCCGCGCCTGATCCCCCTCCCCCAGTCTGATCACACCGCCCAGCCCGTCGGCGGCCGTTCCCTCGCCTGATCACACCGCTCCGGGCTCCGGCGGCAGCCGCGCCTGATCCTCCTCCCTCCCCCCCCCCCTCTCTGCCTGATCATACCGCCCCATTCCGGCGGCGGCCGTGCTTGATCCCCCCCTCCCCTCAGCCTGATCACACCGCCCTGGCCCCCGGCGGCGGCCGTGCCTGATCCCCCTCCCCTCAGCCTGATCACATCGCCCCGACCCCCGGCGGCGGCCGCGCCTGATCCTCCTCCCCCAGTCTGATCACACCGCCCAGCCCGGCGGCGGCTGTGCCTGATCCCCCCCCCCCCCCCTCCCCCTGCCTGATCACACCGCGCCGGCCCGGCGACGGCGGCCGGCCGGCCGGCCGGCTGGCTGGCTGGCTGCTGCGGTCGGGTTCGCGTGGCGGCTGTGGTCGGACGCCCTCCTGGGCCGGGCTTAGCCGGCGGGGTGAACGACCGGAGCGCTGGCGGCGTCACACCTGGGAGGCTCGGTCGCCGAGACCCGATCGCTCCCGTGCGAGATGATCCTGAGCTGGGTGCGCCGCCGCCGCTCCGCGCGTCGCGTTCGAAACCGGGAGCCGTCTTGAGAAGTGTAATAGGGCAACGAACGGCGTTGGCACCGCTGGTTCCTGAAGCTGTGGGGCTTCGTGATACTTGCGCTTATGCTGAGGTCTTGCACAGGTTTTCATCAGTTCAGGGGTCACGGCACTGTTAGGAAATGGCGCAGTACTTCAGAACAGTCCCGAAGTCGCTGTAACTTAATGTTAGACTTGGCTGGAACTCACGCCCAGACCTACAAAACTTTTGCGAACTTGGTCATATGTTGGCAACCAGTCGGTACTGTGGCGCCTCAACTTTCAAGACTGGTGTTTTCCTGGACTCGCACTGAACGAATGTAGACGACGGAGTGCAGAGAAATGTTTTGTATAGTTCGGACTGGAGACATGCACAGCTCGCTTTCCCACCAACCGGCCACAGCCGACCTGGCCATAAGCCCAGACGTTTTTGCCGGAATGTGATTTTACCAGCAAAACGGTCAACTTTGTTCAGGCGTGTATGTTAAACATAAGAATAACACTAAGATGCCAATTTCAATCAACCGCAGAGTTGAGTGTTGTTGAGTTCGATTTCCCTAGCATGTACGGAAAGTAACAGCTAACCCATGGTGAAATGATACCATATAATCAGGCTGACAAAGGAATAACGTTATGGAAGAATATCACCGAGAATGTTAATATCACTATTCACCCAACTTATCAAAGCTTAACCGAACTGATCGCACTGTTGTGTCGTGAGCACTTATAACTTATCATACGGGTCCGCTCTGTGCTTGGGTGCTGTCATGATGTAAATACGCACCTAAATTTTTCACTCGTGTGCACAATACACATGCTCTCGTGTGCCATTTTTTTCTAAAATATATTCAAGATGTTCGACATTGTTATCTTTGGAGCACATGAACACCAGTATTAGCAAAAGTCGCGTAGAATCGCTGCTTGTTGTTGGCCTACATAACGGCTAGTTCGGAGCCGGCTAGTTTTGGCCCATATTCAGAAGTCTGATCGTGGGGCGTTGTTGCCGCTGTGCTCTGCCCGTCTTCGCTGTTGTGAGAGGCCTTCCCGTCTGCCTTTGCTGATTCCCACCAAAGTGCCACGTTCCCCCCCCCCCCTTGCCCGTTCAGCGGGGTAAGCGTTCTGGAGGTCTGACGCGCGCGTCTGGTCGGCCTGCCTGTCACCCTGCCTGCCTTGCGCATGCTGTCTGTGTCCGGGCTGCCTGTCCGACATCTGCCCACTGTCCGGTCTGCCTGTCCGGCGCCTGCTGACTGTGTCCAGCTGCCCGCCGTGCCTGTCCGGTTTGCCTGTCCTTGTGTGTGTGTGTGTGTGTGTGTGTGTGTGTAGTGTGTGTGTGTGTGTGTGTGTGTGTGTGTGTGTGTAGTGTGGGGGTGTGTGTGGTGTGTGTGTGGTGTGGGTGGTGGTGTGTGGGTGTAATGTGTGTGGTGTGTGTGTGTGTGTGTGTTGTGTGTTTGTGTGGTTGTGTGCTGTGTGTGTTGGGGATGTGTGGGTGGCTGGTGTGTGCCTGTGTGTGTGTTGCTGCGACGGTCACGACCGCCCTGTCGCATGCAATCGTATTTACCGCGCGAGTTTCCCTCCGCGACGCGATTAGAAAGCAGCGACCTACCAGAACTAATAGGTCGCGTCGCTCCGGAAGTGGTGCTGCGCGTGCAGCGCCCCTCCCCACCCGCTCTACTGTCCACTGCTGGCCGCCACTTGCCCGGAACTGATGACGCCGGGCCGCTGTGCCCGGGTGCGCTCTTATGAGCCACCGCAGTGCGCCGGCGGACGGGTAAAACGGGCGAATCAGGCGGCCGGGCCGTGGGTTTTGCATGAGGCTGGTTGCGGAAGAGGCAGCAAAGGGACAGCAGTGAGGGATCATCCTTGTAGTGCTTTGTTGTTTGTGGTATGTGTAGTGATCGCTCAAAGCGCGAATTTTTTTATCTGTTGTTTTACTTGGAACTGCTCTCTGGGGAAACGTCGCTCCCAAAGACGGGGACCCGTTATGATTTCCTGTAGTTACAAACATTGCGGGCATGTTTGATGGTTTTAAGAGGCGAGAATAAAAACTGAATCGTGCGCTTAATTGGAACTTTCAGAAGCCATAATCATGCTGGAGTGCCATCCCGAGCAACCCGTACCACCGCAAATGACTGCACTTAGCTGGCGAGCAAGTCTGGCGACAGAAAACGAGGCAACGACACGAAACGAGCCGGGCATGCCTTTATCCAAGGCTGTAGGACCTCTATTCGTTGTCCGACACGACGTGTCCCAGCCACCTTTTCACTCTGATCGGTGTTTTCCTTTGCAGATGCTGGCAATAATCTCATAGCGGACGTGGAACGGTGAGACATGAACGCGCGTGCGGGGCGCTTAGAAAGACCCTGCGGGACCGCCGCCGCCGCCACCGCGTCCCCGAGGAGCGCGCCGGCAGCTCTGGGGCCGCCCCCGGCGCTCTACGCCTCCGAACCGCGCGCCGCCGGGGCCGAGGCGGCAGAGTTCACCGGCCAGATCGTCTACAACGGGGACGGCTCGGTGGCTGTCGTCGACGCCGACGTGCCGTGGGTGTCGGCACCGGACAGCGTCATCGACGACGGGCGGGCGGGGCGCACCGGTGCCGTCCCGCCCGCCATCTCCTCAGTGCTCTTCATCCACCGGCAGCGGATGCTCGGTGCGCGCCGCGCCGATGCAGGTGCCCGGCTGGAAACGAAAGTTCCTGATGGCTTGACTGTGGACAGATACAGGGTGTGCGATGTCGCCGAGGCGCGCGCCGCGTCAGATCGGGCGCCAGATACGCTGGACGCGGCGGCGGCGGCGGCGGCGCAAGGGGCCTCCCATCCCAGCAGGACCAACTTCATGTGCTGTGTGTGCAGGCTGTCTTTCGGCGCGGCGAGTTCGTTCGTGGCGCACTCGGCCGGGAAGCACGGCCTGGCGCTCTCCTCCGGTGAGGTCCGGTTCTTGAGCGGCGGAGGCGGCGGTGGCGGCGCGGGCGGCCTGCTGACGGCGGCCGGCGGGCGACGGCCGAGCATGGCTCTCCTGCGCCACTACCCGCTCGACGCGTCGCCCGGCAAGGGGGCTGACGCGCCGGGCCCGGTGGCGGCGGGCGAGGCTGAAGACGGCTCGTGTGCGAGGGAGGTGAGCGGCGGTCAGGACGGGGCGTCGGCCCTCCCGCCCAGTGTTCCTAGTGTCAGTGCTGCGGAGGATGTGCAAGGGCGCGTGTTCTTGTCGCACGGCCACCCTGCAGTGCTGCCTCCGGACGGCGAGATCCTGTCAGGAGCCACATCGTCACCGGGGACGATGGCGAGGGCCGACGAGGAGAGCGCGCCTTCCCAGCCTCAGGTCCACTCTTCCCAGCCGTCCGTCGCAGCAGTGGTTTCACAAAGCGCCTGCAAGACTCTGAAGTGTCCCCGCTGCAACTGGCACTTTAAGTACCAGGAAACGCTAGAGGTTCACATGCGCGAGAAGCATCCGGAGGGCGGAGCCATTTGTCTGTTCTGCGTAACCGGGCGACCTCACCCGAAGCTGGCTCGTGGTGACGCGTATGAGTGCGGCTACAAGCCGTACCGCTGCGGTGTCTGCCATTACGCCACCACCACCAAGGGCAACCTCAGCATACACATGCAGTCGGACAAGCACCTGAACAACATGCAAGAGTGGCGAAAAGTGCACGGGGACCTTCGCACGCGGCTCTCAACTGCGCTACACGATGTGAAACAAGCTGACGCTGGCAGCGTGAGCGCAGCGCACGACCAGCCTGCTTTCGATAGCAGCCGGATCTCTCACCCCAATGGCTCGTTTGAGGATGTGGAACGAAACTGCCATCTACTGGGCCTACAGACAGGTCTGGCCGAGGCCCTCCGGCAGCGCCTGGGCTCACAGACTGGTGCCATCGGGTCCATGCCTGCTAAAGGGCCTGGGTCGTCGGTGGACACCGCTCTAGACCAGTCCGTCCTCCGTGTGGTTGAGAATGAGGGTGAGATGTCGCCCACGGAACGAGACCGATCCCGAAGCAAGGGCCTGCCGTCGGAAGACCCGACTGAGCTCGCCGACCCGAATCCCACGCACGTTTTCAACTGCTGCACATGCTCCGGCTTCTCCACGGACTCGCTGGAGGAGCTGGGCCACCACGTGAGCCAGGACAGGAGCCGTCCTAGCGTCGCTAACGCGACCACTATGGAGGGAGGCAACCACGTATGTCGCCTGTGCGCTTACAAGACCCACCTGAAGGCCAACTTCCAGCTGCACTGTCAGACCGATAAGCATCTGCAGAAGCTCCAGCTCTTCAGCCACATCATGGAGGGCGGCGACTCCAACGCGCGAAAGCTGCGCCTGCTCCACTCGACTAGCTCCGGCTCTGTGCGCTGCAACGTCTGCGAGCTGTCCACCCGCAGCGTCGCCCAGCTGCGAGCGCACGCCGTCCACAAGGGGCACGACGTGCGCCGCGTGCTGTTTGAGCACCTGCGCCGGGCGGAGCGGCACGTGCCGGCGTCGCGGCGGAGCTACGGCTGCGCGCTGTGTGACTTCGCGGCGCGCCAGAAGCTGCCGCTGCTGCGACACATCGGCGGCGCGCGCCACCTAGAGATGGAGCGGCGGCGTCAGCTGCGGCGTCGGGCCGACGGGCGTCGGGAGCCGGACCATGTGGCCGCCATCTTCGCCGTTCGCGAGGCGGCCGACGAGGCAGGTCAGTCGGCACGCGCCACGCACTGTGAAGGGCAGAGCGAGGGCTAGAGGGACGCTGATCAGCGGAGGCAACCGGAGGCACTGTTCGGGACCCACAGGAGAGGCAGTGGTGACGACCCTGCGACGGCGAACAGTCGTGGGCGGCGGATCTTACATCGCTGATAAGTTGCATGTGTTTCACAAAGTGAGATGAACTGGCTTACGCCGGAACTCATGCAGTTCTCGCAGTGGGAAACTGGCTGATGATGTCACGGAAAAAGTTGGAGCATGATGCTAGAATGTGGCTTAACTCCAAAAGCTAGCTAATGCCCACAATTTAGGTTCAACACACCGCGTAGCATCGGCGACGTTTAAACACTAATGCAAAATAACATAACAGCCATAATATAGTTACATGTCCTAGTATAAATGGCAAGGAAGTTGATGTTCATTTTTATTGTCTTTTCGTATGAGTGCGGCCATCACTATTAATAGTTACATACCAGTGAAACATGCATAAATGTCAAGATGTTGAAAAGCAAAACGATATGCTGAAAGGGAAGAAAGCCTTATGAAAGCTTTATATTCATTTTAGGGCCATGAAATGACCGCTGCTAATCGGAACAAGCTAATCGCACATGGCCAAGCATATGCACGCCTTCAGTTATTCAGATCATGCCGGGCCGTGAGGTGCGTTGCGTTTTTGAAGGTGCTCATTCACATTGCATTACATACATAGCTGTACACCAGCCCACGCAGTTTGTGTTTGCCCCATCGTCTCCGGACAGTGCTCCCGGCACAACCTATTACCAGTACTGTGGTGTGTCTTACCTCCAGTGCTCCCACCATGACTTGTACCAGTGCTGTGGTGTGTCTTACCTCCAGTACTCCCACCATGACTTGTACCAGTGCTGTGGTGTGTCTTACCTTCAGTACTCCCACCATGACTTGTACGAGTGATCTGGTGTGTCTTATCTCGAGAGCTTCTGGCACGACTTGTACCAGTGCTTTGGCGTGTCTTACCTTCAGTGCTCGCACCATGACTTGTACCAGTGCTCTGAAGTGTCTTACCACCAGTGCTCTCGTATGACTCCGGCACCACCTTACTACAAAAAGCGTTCGTATGGCATGCCAAACCGTAATGCATGCAAACGAATACAGTTGTAGCATTGAAACGTTTCAAGCTTTCAGCTATTTCTTAGAACGCCTCAAAAACAGCATCGACTGACTTGCATTAATAAGATGCCGCGGACCGACATTTTGGTGTGGGGTGTCTTGTGTAAATCCCAGCTGTTGTTTGTGGGGTAGAGTCTTCTAATATAAGCATGGTCGGTGGTGTTCTCTCACGTTATCACTATGTCGTAGCCAGGGCTCTTCTCATCTTGATCCTTGACGTGGCGTAACCCATAGGAAAGCTGCAGTAAGCTGTGGCGTAACCCATGGAAAGCTCATTTCTGGGTTTTAGCTCTCTCTTTTGACCCATACCTCCGTGGGAAGATCCTTGAGGCCCGGGTAAAACTGTGTCTTTTCCAAGTACCTAGTATGTAGTTTTTCGCAATAAAATCGATTTGTTGTTGCTCTCTGCCTGCCCTTTTGTGACAGTGGGCAACAGTTTCGTCTGCTGCCGCGGATCGTGCGTGATCTTGTACACGTAAGTGCGGGCACAGGAAATCCACCACGTCGTCATCCGGAACACTCGCGGCATGCGCTTCTTTCTGTTTGCAGATGATCCCGCGGTGCATCCCGGTGATTCAGAGCCGACAAATGGTCACGGTGACTGGCGGCCGTCGGAAACCCCAGAGCGCCTGCAAAACAGAGGGGCATCAGAGTTGCGTAAACGTCCTGGGGGCCTGCTATCGGACGCTGACATGTCGGCTGCAGACACGGTTCTGACGCCGTCTGCTGAAGCCAGTGACATGAAGAAGCCCTCGGATGGGCGTCAATGCGCGGCGAAACCACCCCAGAACAACCACCGTGAAATTGGCGCGATCTCTCCTGTTAAAAATGATTTGGCGCTTGATCGGGATGTCACCAACACTCAGCAGATCCAGCCAAAATGTGATGCGGATGCAAAACACGATGCGACCGTGGCGAATTCAGTCGAAATATGCGTTGAAATGCGTAATTATGTTCCGCTCGGCCATGGCCTCAACTTGAACAATGGAAACAGTATGGTCCCGCCCTCGAGCGAGAAGAAAACACGTTGCCCTGGTTCAGATGCAGAGTTGCCTGCTCAGCGTTGCGATCAAACACACCATGATTATGCAACGGGCGCGTGCAACACCGGCCACTCCGTGTCTGAGGATCATTCCCGCCGTGCCGGGCTTTTACAAGCCGCGGAGTGTCATGCGCCCGCACATGGGAACGACAAAGACGACACCCGACCGTTCAAATGTGACACTTGTAAGGTAGCTTACAGCCACCCACAGATACTGAGCATCCATCTCCAGTCGGCCTCACACCAGTCGCGGCTGACCAAAAGCCTGGAGGCGGTGGCGGCCAGTGCTTGCAACCAGCCTGTCCAGACGGGGACTTGCGCCGGACAGCTGCCCGCCGAGGCGCGCGCGGAGGAGGTGGCGGCTACCAAGGGGCCGTCCCTATCGTCGCTGCTCTCGGCAGACGGTGCTGGCAGTATGCAGCGTCACGCCGAGGCCAGTCTGGCGCACTTCACTGGCTCAGCGGGCAAGGATGTAGGCGGTCCGAACCCCGATGGAGGGCAGCAGCGGCAGAAGATGAAGGATGCTATAGTGGAAAGACAGGTGGCTCAGGGAAGCATGCTGACGAATAACGAGATGACCGTGGTGCAGTCTGGTAGCGTGAACGAGTCCCAAAGTGTCCCGTCGTCTGGTAAGCAGCCCGTCACGCTGAAAAATCAGCTACTCGAGGCGTATGGGCTGGAGATCGCCATGCATCATTGTGAATCGCGCTGGAAAAGAAGAAAAAGTCAGGCCGATTGTAACAGTAAGCCAAGCGGGGCAGATGGTGGCAAGCACAAGCAAGCAGCCTCCAATGCGGCCGAGTGGGTGTGCCGTGTTTGTCAGAAGGAGTTTTCCAGCCTATGGATAAGGAGATTTCATGAAGAGAAAGTGCACGATAGATGCGTGCCGAAAGAGGAGTTGGAATTATGTGTTGAACGACTGTCGCGAGACTTTCGCACTGAGCGGCTGACGGTTGCCGACGGCGACGAGCAAACATCACCCACGATATCGGAGGAGACGCCGGCCGGGGATTCCCAACGCGTCGAGCACATTAGCGAGCTCTCAGGGAGCCGGAAGGTGTCGTCTCGATCGCATGTCCAGCCATCAGGCGCGCTTCCCACACCAATCTCGCGCCAGAGTCCGGCCGCGTCGGACGCCGTTCCGAGCGACGGAGCGAGCGAGCCCCTCAGTCACGCCCAGCCTCGCGATGCAGCCGAGTCGCGTGCTGCCCCCACCAGTCAACCGACGCTGCCCGACCTACAGACTGCGCTCGGCCTGATCCAGGCGGCCCACATCCGTTACCAGATGCAGCAGCTGGCCGCCATGGGCTCCCCCCTGGGCGTGTTCGGCCTGGGGGCCGCGGCGGACGCCGACGCGCAGGCGTCGTTGCTCTCACTCATGGCCGCCCAGCAGCTGCTGAGCCCCGGCATGCTGTGGGCTGCCCAGGCACAGGCGCTGGCGCAGCAGCGGGCACAGGCCTCGCCCGTCCTACCCGTGTCCGGGCAGGCGCCACACAGCCACAGCCGCCCTTCACGTGGTGACGGCCAGGCGAAGCGGGTGCGCACACGCATCAGCGGCAGCCAGCTGAAGGTGCTGCGCGCGCACTTCGACATCAACCACTCGCCGTCGGAAGAGGAGGTCAACCGGGTGGCGCGGTGCTGCGGTCTGGGGCCGAAGGTCGTCAAACACTGGTTCAGAAACACGCTGTTCAAGGAGAGGCAGAGGAACAAAGACTCGCCCTACAACTTCAGCGTGCCGCCCACTACTATTCTGGACGTTGAGAAGTACCAACGGATGGGAAGTGAGAGTAGCTCAGCCCCTGAGCCCAGCGATCAGCGCTCAGAAAAGCTTCAGAGCAGCTGTGGCGAAACCGTAAAGCATGCCGAGCGCGGAGCCACGCTACGTACGCAGGGATCACCAGCAGCGACCAGTGCCGAATCGCAGAGTATGGGTAGCGTATCCAGCTGGACACCGAACTTATCCTGTCATTTCACCTCCGCGCCTCGACCAGCTACAGACGTCACCTCCCGGCTCTTCTGCCACGCGCCGCCACCTCTCGCCCACAATGGCAGCTTGTCGTCCAGCGTGGCCTCTTTCCCGGAGAATCTGTCGGCTCGCCCGGACTGGCGCTCGCCGCACACCAGTGTGTTCGACGAGCTGACCATCAGCCTGTCCAGCAGTTCGTCCTCGCAGCCGGCGTTCTCCCCAGAGTGCAGCAGCCCAGCCAAGCGGAGCCCGCAGTGGTCGCAGGTCAGTCCGCCGGGCTCGTCCGGCCACAAGTACGCCGGCCGGCGCGCCAACCGCACCCGCTTCACCGACCAGCAGGTCAAGGTGCTGCAGGACTTCTTCGAGAAGAACGCTTATCCGAAGGAGGACGACCTGCGTCGGCTGTCCAAGCTGTTGAACCTGGGACCGCGGGTCATCGTTGTCTGGTTCCAGAACGCGCGGCAGAAGGTGCGCAAGGTGTACGAGAACCAGCCGCCCTCCGACCGGGCGGATGAGAACGCGAGCCGCTTCCAGCGCACAGCCAGCCTCAACTACCAGTGCAACCGCTGTCTGACCGTGTACCAGCGCTACCACGAGCTGATCCGCCACCAGCGGCAGCACTGCTACCGCGAGGAGGGCGAGAAGCAGCTGGGCAAGGCGCAGGAGTCCGGCGGCGACGTCACAGTGTCGCTGGCCAGCAGCCTGCCGGCTCTGGGGCTTGCTCCTCCGCAGCAGGAAAGCACCTTCAAGTGCGGCAAGTGTCTGCAGCAGTTTGACCGCTTCGACCGCTGGCGCGAGCACCAGGTGCTGCACGTGATGAATCCGAGCCTGGTGCCCAGCTCGCTCCAGAACCAGTCGTCAGGCGGCGCGCCGAACACGCCGAGCGTGAGGCCCTCCCACTCCGCTGAGGAGGCTTCCGAGGATGACGAGGCCGAGGGTCAGTCCTCCTGGGAGAGACTCGCCAACGACAAGCGTTTGCGGACGTCCATCCACCCGGAACAGCTGCAGCACCTACACCGGCAGTACCAGGCCGACCCCTGTCCGAGCCGCGAGACCCTGGAGGCAATCGCTCGCGATACCGGTCTGAAGAAGCGCGTGGTGCAGGTCTGGTTCCAGAACTCGCGCGCGCGGGAGCGGAAGGGTCAAGGCACTCGCCGGTTGTCGGTGGGTGACGCGTGCCTCACGCCGCTGGTGACACCGCTGAAGACGAGGGCGGCCGAGTCGGCGCTGCTGCCAGAGGTGTCCATCGAGCTTGTCAGCACATGCCCTGATCCGGCGAAGAAGGACCTAGTCCCCACGCGCAACGGCGCTCACCCGTCGCAGGCTGGGTTCCCGGGTCTGGTGCGTCCTCCGCCCGAGCGGCCGCTGCAGATCTCATTCTTCCCGTCTGCCGACGCTCCGCTGGACCTCAGCAAGCCTCAGCCGTCAGCGGCGACCGGCGGCGGCCCTGCGGAGCTCGCCACCGCTGTGGACCCGACTCGAGGCGCGGCCGCCGCCCGAGGCGACGCCGCCTGCCTCAGCGTGCCGTGGACAGCCCGCGACGCTACCGACGCGGACGGCGCGCGCTCGTCCGGCGCCGCCAGCCCGGCGGCGGCGCGCCAGCCGCTCACTACGTCCAGCAAGCGCTTCCGCACTCAGATGTCGGCGGCGCAGGTGGGCGTGCTGCGCAGCGTGTTTGCCGCCTACCGCATGCCGACGATGGTCGAGTGCTCACGGCTGGGCGAAGAGATCGGTTTGGCCAAGAGGGTCGTGCAGGTGTGGTTCCAGAATTCGCGCGCCAAGGACAAGAAGCGGCACCTGCAGAGCGGCCGTCCGCCGACGCCGCCGCCGCTCGGCTGCGACTACTGCCAGGTCCTCTACGGCGTCAAGTGCAGCCTGCAGGAGCACCTGCTGAGCCGCGCTCACATCGAGAGTGTGCGCCGCGCCACGGAGGAGGGCAGGACGCCGCCGGCGGCGGGCGGGGCGCGCGAGTCTGTGCTGCCACCCGGCCGCACCGCTGCGGAGGAGGGCAGGGCGCCGCCGCCGCCGGGTGGGGCGCGCGAGTCTGTGCTGCCGCCCGACCGCACCGCTGCGGAGGAGGGAAGGGCACCGCCGCCGCCGGCGGGCGGGGCGCGCGAGCCGCTGCCGCCGTCCGGCCGCACCGCCTCGCCGCCACCGACGGTCGGCGACGGGACGGCCTCGGCAGATCGCCTGGACAGGCCGCGGCCAAGCCTGGGACGCAGGAAGACGACTCCAGAGGAACATCAGGACGGCGCACGGCAGCCACCGCATCTCCGAGGTAGGTGGCGCCAGTGGGGACGGTTCGTAGGCACTGGTGCCGACTCAACAACCTGCTCATACGCGTCTCTAGGAAAATAAGCAAAAGGACGTATAATCCGGGTCTCGGTGTCACGTGTATCTCTGTAACAACGCTTGGGTCCTGCTGAGCCATATTATCCTCGATTTGGAATGCGCAGTAACCATAGCCCTGTGTGAATTATGTGTCTCGTCAGCACTGGTGGGAAACACGTCACCCTGGCCGAATAATTGTTTGGTAATAGAGCGGAACGCTCAGCTAATTATAATTGGCCTTCCCGTTCAGTTGTCTAGAGTAGCAATTAAGCCCTATTTCCAAACTGCTTCTCATCAACTGGCTCGATTTGTGGTAATAATGGAGGCCCCGAAGTTGTCTTGGGATTTGGTTCGCAGCCGTTGTTCTGACATCCGTGGTCAGAAAACCGATTTTTAATAATAAAAAGACCACAGTAGCCAAGCACAGAAGCCGCCGATAGGTGCGTGGACGATGTTTTTCTGGGTGGCGGTGTCATGTCCTTTCACTTTTTAGGTTTGCCTTTAAGTGTGATGTCTTGAACTTGTTAGAAACGGGTCCTTGACATTTTTGCAGGCTTGATATCTCACGCTTCTTATTTCCATGATGACATAATCCCGATGAGGCCGATGAGATAACACCGAAGCACAGTGCGACCCCATCCGCGGAACTCTGCCGCATTCCACTGAGCCTCGAAGCATGAAGGGAGCGCCACCGGCCCTCCCCACGTGTGTGCCACACGAGACGGGAACCACATGCTGCCTGTGGCTGGCAGATCTGGTTATTGACAGCGCGGGGCCGGTCCGGCGCGTCTGGATGATCCCTGGGCCGCGGCTCCTGCCCGTGTCCGCCTGCCGCACGCGACGCCAGCTGCCCCCCCCCCCCCCCCCGCTCCGGCCAGCCATCCTGGGGATTAGCACCGTCCGGTGCGCGGGGCGGCGAGGCGTTCGTTCCGAACGGGGAGGCGTTCGACTGGATCCAGACCGGTTCTGGAGCGGGCTCGGCGCAACGGAAGTCCAGGAGAAGTGGCACCGTTGTATTTGAGCATCTGGGACATACAAAAGCGTGTCGCACGCCCCTCCCGCGCCACCAAGAAAAAAAGACGAAAGCTTGTGTTGGCAGGTCGATTGCCATTAGAAAAGAAAATTGAAGAATTGATCAGACTGAAAGTCTGTTAAATTGAACGTCAGATTTGACTGCGAGGTCAGTGCACCTCCCCGACGTCAGCCACCCGTCGCCCGTTGGTGCGGTGCTGCGCCCAGGCACCCGCCGCTCGTTTGGGGTCAGGTACAGCGCTCGCAGGAGTCGAGCTCGTAGTCGGCCGGGTGCTCTCGCTGCTTTACGGCCCCACCGCCTGCGGTGATGACTCATTGGGGCGGGCTCATTACCGGCCGGCGTCAGATCGGCGCCCGATGCATTCCTGGCGCCTGCACCGGCTGCGGTGGCCCGGCAGCGCGCTGCTGACCGACCGCGCGCCCAGCTGACCTCCCGGGACCCGCTCGGTCTGACGTCACGCCCCTCGGGCGACGGTGTGACGTCACGCCTGAGGCGGGGGTGTGACGTCACGCCCCGGGCGGCGACGTGACGCGCGGCGCTACCATACACGTGTTGTGCGATGGTGCCGGAGCGGTTGGAGTGGGCACGGCGGGCGGCGCTGCACATGCTGCCGAGGCCAGCGGGGCACGTGAGTCAGCGCTGGTCGCCAGTGCGCGGGTAACCGGGACACATCGGGCGCAGCGGCTACTTTACACGTCGGCACGGCCTCATTGACCGGGCCATCCGTGCTCGATGTATATTAGCCGTAGATCAAGCATTCGACTCAAAGGCCGCCAACGATTACGTCGATAATAATCGACTTTTAATTACAGGCGCGTCGCGCTTATAAATGACTCTAGTGTGTCTGGGCCTCATAAGCCCGGACTATTAATGGCATACCGGGACGGCAATTAACCACTCCCGTCGATCGCGGCATTGTAAGGCTAATCTGGCGCCAGCGCTGATCATTCGATGCCGTAATTGCATTTGGCAAACAAACCCCGCGTGGGAGGGCACCATGGCAGCGCGGGCTGATGGGGTCCGGCGTGGGCGGCGCCGGTGGTTCGCTGAGGATGTCTGATAGCTGGTGATGACAATGGTGATGATGACAACACGGCTCTGTCGCGGGCTGCAGTTGGAGCGGGGTGCCCACTGCAGGGGCACTCCATCAACGGCCGCCCAGTGCCGCCGTCAAAACCTAACGAACCCCAATGGGACGGGCTGCTTGGTGAATCCAGTTGGGCTCAATTGGTGCCGGCGCGGCGGCCCAGCCCGCTGTGGAGAGGCTTCTCTCCCGGTCTCCTGTCTCGGTCTCTTACCCCGTGGGCTCCGCTGCTCGGCGACTCGTGCGCCCCCCCCCCCCCCCTTCCCCGTGACCTGCCGACGTGGCAGCCTGTCGCGGAGAGGCCTGTCACCCGACCTCCTGTCCCGTGGGCTCCGCTGCGCGGTGGCTCGTGCGCCCCTCCCCTCCCCCTCCCCCCTCCCCCTCCCCATTCCCGTGACCTGCCGACGCGACGGTCTGGCTCGCTGTGGAGAGGCTTGTCTCTCGGTCTCTTGTCCCGTGGGCTCGGCTGCCAGGTGGCTCATGCGCCCCCGTGACCTCCCCGGGTCGATGCCGGGCATTGGGACCTGGCGGAAGTGTTGCCGGCCTGGCAAATTGCTTGCCGCTGGAAAATGAAACACCGGGCTCTTTTAATTGCGCAGGCCCCATAAGTGTTTTAAGTGGCAGAGCTAAGTAATTTCGCTCATCGATTTTGGTATCAGCTGCGCTAGCCACGGCCCGAAGCGCGCCGACTTTGGCTAATGATGGATCACGTAAAACCGCATTGCATCAGCGGCAGAAGATAATGGAAGTTGCAGGATTAAGTTTGCCGAATTCCAAGGCATTGGCACCGGCACCACCCATCTCATGTGGGTAAACAAAGAACGTGACGTCAGAGGAGGCTTGGGGTCTTGGAAGGATTACATGAAGCCATTTTTGAGTCGGATGGGTTGGAAGACCAGTGCAATGTTGCGTAATGATTTGTGATAATCGCCTTTCACTCCTACCAGTTTTGTCCTTTGTTCACTAGTCTACCTAGCCTTACAATGATGCCGGCATCTTCTTCAGCTGTTTTGCTCGTGCACTGCAGGCAAAATCTGCGCTTGAGCTTTTTTCCGTCTTGGTGTGCCGTTCTTGATGGACCTGACGGCTCTAGGAGTATCGGCTCGGCCGCTCCATTACCATGGTGGTGCCGCCGCGCTGTGTGATTGGATGCCATAACCCAGTTCGTCGGCGCCGGGCCGCGGTGACCGATGTCGCTCGTAAAGAGGCCACAGTCGGCCGGCGTATCGACCCGCCCGGCGACGCTCGGCCGCGCCGGGCCCGAGAGCAGGGGCGCACGGCCGCGCACTCATCATCATCAGCTGCTGGCTGCTTCCCGTACAGAGGAGATGAGCCCATCAGCAGCTGCGGTCTGTCCTCCGTGCAAAGGACGAGCTTATCAGCAGCTGCGGGCTGTCATTGGTGCACAGGAGACGTACCCATCAGCAGCTGCGGGCTGCGTTTCGTGCCGAGGCCGAGTCCATCAGCAGCAGCGGACTGTTCTCCGTGCAGAGGACGAGTCCACGGCAGATGCGGGCTGTCCTCCGTGCAGAGGAAACGAGCCCGTTAGCAGCTGTAGGTTGTCCTTCGTGCAGAGGAGACGAGCCCGTCAGCAGCTGCGGGCTGTCCTTCGTGTAGCCATCAGGGCAGGGTGTGTGACATACACACTCACCGATGCAAAAGGGTACGCGCACTTCAGTATTGCCCGCACTTGTAGCGCATCACATTTTTTCTTTGCTGATGGCGATTTTTTACTCTCAACTCACCGTTACTGGACGTTGGCTTCGGTGAACATTGCTATTGGCTGTAAGCCATTGACACGCTTTCTAGAAGTTGCTGCAGATTATCGCAGCTATTTACGGACCTGATGAAGCCAGCCGCACAAACATGCTCTCATCTTGAGCTAAACACGTGGGCGACACATCAGATGCTGGCGTCCACATTATAGATCCTTACTGCAGCGCGTCCTGACCGGGTTTCAAAAGCAAAACTTTGCCGTTACGTCAACGTTGAACAAGCTGTCGGCCAAAGTCTGAAGCGAAAGCTTGTTTGTACCAGTCATCTGCGTGCACAACGTGCGTCCTGATGCGGGGCCGTGCTTTCTCTCACTCTGTTGGATCACGTGATAGTGGTCATTGTACTGGTGCACACGTTGTTTTGTACAGTTTACAGTTTTGTTTCCAAGCGAGAGGAGAGGGATGCGTTCAAAGACTGCTCAAGTGTTCTCCGACGAGGGTGTCATCCGCGGTCACCGCGGACCGACGCCCTTGTCACCATTAGGTGATGGCACTGCGTATAGTCGACTCCAGATCAACAAAAAATCGAGGAGTCGCAGCGGAATCGATTTCTTTCAAGCGTAAACCTGAGGTGCTACAACCACATTGGCTGTTTTCCTTTATGGTTCGTCCGAAACAGAATGCATATGAAGGAAATGCCATTTTAATGGAGGGTGTCATGTGTGGAGCCTATGCAACGATGGATCTTCTGCCGTCTTGCTGTTGAAGTAGATGTCCAGTGCAGACTCTCTTTGTAGATTATAGAACAGCTATATGCTAAGCCATTGCCGCCGAAATCGTCCATAAAATCAAAACACCTCCATGGGTCGGAATCGGGGTCGACTCAAACCGACATTGCGCTGCACGGAGGCACAGCCGCTATCCAGCCAATGCTCTGTGAGCCCCAATCGGAGTCAAGTCGGCCTGACCTGGGCTCCTGCCGAGCTCCAGTTACGGCCGGAGTGGGGTCCTGCCGAGCTCCAGCTACGGTCGGAGTGGGGTCCTGCCGAGCTCCAGCTACGGCCGAAGTGGGCTCCGGCCCAGGTCCAGCTACGGCCGGAGTGGGGTCCTGCCGA